TATATCATTTGGAGAAGAAGAAGAGGAGAGAGAGAATGAATATTGAATAATGACACAGGCCACGTGTTGTGGGCNCCTTCTCTCTCTTTTCCTTTTTGTTAAGCCCCTATCACCTTCACTCCTTTTCGTTTTTCTCATCTTCACACTATCCTCCCCCACTTTTTTCGTTTTGTTACAAAACAGCCCCAAATCATTTCAGTATTTTCATTTCTTCCCAATTACGAGATTTCAGCACGGAATAAGAGGAGGAGGGTGACTCTACTCTCTAGATTAGCTACTCCGTATCCCCAAAGACCAAACAAATTCAATCATTGAGTTTTTGAACCACAAAAACCCATCCAAATGATCACATCTCTAATCTAAAATGTGTCACGCTTGCTTCTTCTGATACGTGGAATTTATTTCATTAATCTTTTTTCTTTTCTTTTTTTTTAGTCCAAAGTAGTATCACATTGACTCCAAAAAACCAATCCCACCACAACCATAGAGTTGGCCTCCTTCTAGCCATGTAGGGGTCTCGAGGTTGTTAGGGAATATTTTAAGGACTTGTCTTCCCTTTGCCACAATCGTAGCTTTGGTTGTGTGTTGCTCCATATCTTCTCGAGGTGTGTTGCTTGTCTGTGCTTGGCCGGATTGTATCATTTGTCTTTCATAATTCTTAGTATTGTTTTAGCATCGCTAATTCTTTATTGTTGTTCTTTTGTACTCATTTTTCCGTGCTGTACTCGGTCACCTTTTAATAGAATGCCCTTTAAAGAAAAAAAATCAACATAATTTTATACGATAAATAAATAAAATTCTAATATTAATTATACAGAGAAATTATGCTTAGCTTTCGTCAAGTATAGTATGTTGATTGCATACAATCCTCTTTAATTAAGTATCGATCCACTTTCATAATCCCCAACAAGAAAAACCATGAGTTGTGTCAGCCTTCGTTATTGTAAACACATTGCTAGTTAAGTACTATAGTTAGGTGTATATTGTTTCAATATAATTGGTGTGTGTTTTATAAACGACTTGGTTAAATTATTACTCCATCTATCTACGAGTTATATATTAAATGATTTACTTAAGTGTAGAACATTGGAGAAGCATTTTACAGAATATATAAATGAAATGGGCGGTTTGTGATTATTCTTAATTAACAACTGACAGGGAACCAACCAATTAATTAATCATCCCTATAGAGTATAGTATTCATTAGTTTGTGTTTATATTATTTATTTAAAAGCTGATAGCTTTCATCATTTGATTTAGCACGATCCCCGCCTCGCTTCTTGTCTCCCCCGTGACGCATATATTCTTGTAAATGCTCTAATATTGAATGCAACAAAAAATCGAGTATTCACTTCGTGCTACCTATGAATATGATCATAACTATTACTAAGTTTTTTCTTTTTCTTTTGAGTGGGTTATTAAATCAATTGATTATGATCTTGAAAAGTCGGGAAAACTAATTAAGTTATACTTAGATGGAGAAATAATGAAACATATAATACAAAAGTTTGATTGGTAACCGATCTATAAACCTTACGGCCACTTTATAATTTATAACGTTTTAGATTGTACCAATCACAAAAGTTTTACCAAAAACGTTACATTCAACTTTATTTGTACAGTTTACAATTTACAGTTTTGCACTATGCTAACAACTTACCGGTAAAAAACTTGTACCCTTTTTAGTTAACAATCGGACCCCAAATTATAAAATAATATAATAGAATATGAAGGAGAAGTGTAGGTGTCGCACCGTCCAAAGAGATATGGAAATCCAGGGGACTCTTAAAAATAGACACAAGTTGGGATTAAGATAATACTATGATTAAGTCATTGCATTAGCCAACCAGCAACAACCACATCGACTCTCTTTGACCTAATTATTTGACCATCTCTCCACTTATCACCATAATTAGCAATTCAACACCACTCACCATCTCCTCCATCTCGTCGCCTAGCTAGCTTATGTGGTTGTGATTCCAGCAATCTTGGTATGAATAACGTGTGTCCGTGTCTACTCAATCCTCGCTCATCGTTTATACGACTAAAACCATCTTATATTCTCATACCCAAAAAAAAACATCTTATATTATATGTTGAATTAATGGGAAAATAAAACTTGATATGTTTTGAAGAAGTTAGGACTAGTATGTAACCCATTCCAATATTAAGAAATTTCAAACTTTTCAAGTTATTTTACAAAATACCACATTTTTTAAATCTTTACAAAGATGCCACTTTTTTAAAA